TATACGTATCTGATTGACGACTAGCCTTAATCGAAAGTTCTTTCTCGTGATCGGGAGGGGTAATTAACTATAGGGGCTTGCGCTTATAGGAAACAAGAACTCAGATTATAAAGTCCTCACAAAATGAGGGCGAAATCTCTGGGTAGTGTCTTATCTACAAACCCATCTGCCTTCCAAAATTTACCTCGGAACTTATTCAGTTAAAACACCCTCGCTGAATAAAAAGAAGAAAAGCGAGCGGAGGCCGGGGCCGAATTTTCGGAGCCCACAAGTTCGCAAGTAACCCTAAGGGAATACTTCAGTTCGCAAGCAAACCTATCACTAATTGGAAGAAAACAGCGAGAATAACGCAAAATCTGGGCGAAATCAGCCCCAAAACGATAGTTTGCAATCAAAGAAATAAATCAAAGCACATACGAAAGCAAGATACAAGTGATCCTCAATTCAAGAGGAGGATCGTCTCTCTCAAATCTCTAGACAAGAGAGTCTAGAGCCCTCGCACCAAGAAACCCTAATTCCCAATTAATCAAAACATGATAAACTCCTTAATTCCCTCATGCACTTTAATACAAATTGTTTCCTAATTAATTTTCCCTCCCAAAGCTTGAGCCGCCCCACCCTTTTCCCTTTTGAAAATTATTTGCTGGATGGGGCCCACCTAAAAGGTTGAAAAGGGAGGAAGGAGGCGGGCTACTTCCGCCTCTTGTAGAATAGCTGAATCGACTGGGCCGGTTCAGCCAGCACAGGCGTAACAAATTCATATATCACAAGTTTTAAAAACCAATCAGAAAGGATTGTCAAAATGGTTGCTAGATATCCAGCCACTATAAATGTCAGGTTGTACTTCAATTTGGTTGTAACTATCTAGCTCTGAAACCCAAGCCCTAAAATACTGAATATAACTTGGCTGAGACTTACCATATCAAGATAAATCCAAATAAATTTTCATGTTTCCCTCAATTTGCATGAGGAATCACCTTGCAGAAGTCAGAGTAGAAAAATACATGGAATCAGAAGAAAGTTTAAAATGTGATTGTAAGGGCCATAGAACATAAAATATGACATTAATGACTGAATTTCTAATCAGGGTCCCACTCTCATTTTCGTTTTTAACACTTAGAATTATGGTTGCGTTCGTATCACCAAAGACAGGTATTTTGAATATTTCAGCTGTACAATCAACTCAAAACTCATAAGCAAAACAAACAGAATGAAGACAACTGAATATACGAATGAAGGTATGTACTGCCAGCAGTCGTTGACTACTTTGAACCGATAGATCACAATTTGATAAACAATTCAAATTGGTAGCAAATCATGATAATGGTTGTCTGCTTCATAACCACACTTATGTGGACAAATAAAGTTGGTTTCACTTGTACTTTTTCTAGTTTTATGTACGCCGGGAAAAGAATCCCGAAGGCAATTGTATTCAGCTTTGTTAGACCAGCTTTCAACCAAAAAGATAACAAATTAAATGAGAACATAGAACTCCTGGAGATTAATGATGGCGTCATCACCTGTACAACTCATCATTTTAGCCTATTTCAATCAAATAAAAAGTAGTTTATAGCTTCCATGGTTTAAAATTGCGCAATATGAGGCTCGCCTTGAGGCCCTCCTTTGCGCAATTCCAGTAAAAAACGCCTCGATGCTTACGCCTTGAGTTTTTTTTACGAGGCTTGCGCCTCAACTTGGTTGAGGCCCGCTTCGCCTCACTGGTCGCCTCACTGGCATGAGGCTTACGCCTCACGCTATATATATTAAAATTTACATTCTTTTGATTTTGAGGCTTACGCCTCAAAACGCCTTGAGGCTTAACGCCTCGCCTCACGAATGAAAAACGCCTCAATACCAGAATACGCAATTTTAAACATTGATAGCTTCAAGTTGATTATAATCATTTACAGCATAAAAAGCTAAGTAAAGAATAAGGCCAGGCAAATATCCAATCAGTAACAGATGATACAAACTGTTTGATTTTGAACATATAGTTAACGAGGGCCAAATAAATATATAGACTGACAAAAAAAAACGAATGGAAACAGGACAAAATGACGAGTAAGCAAACACTCACTAATAACTGAGAAAAAAAGATGCAAATGAAATAGCTAACATGATTTAATAATTGAGAATTCAGAGAGAGGAATGCATGAGAAGTCAACATACTCGAGAGCTTTTATATCAGCATCTTCCTCCCAAAATGCTGTAGAACGCCGGGAAGCTCTGCTTCTTTCTGCTTCAACCTAAATGCAAATTCCATGTAAATGAGATGAGCATTTTGCATTAATAATAGAAAGTAAATCAAGATTTATAAAAATACAGGAACCACCTGAGCCTCTTGCAATCGTTTTATTTCTTTCTCTATCTGAAACTCAGCAGCTGCTTTTTCACTAGCCATGGCCTCCAGCTGTGTTTGCTTATGGTACTGAAAAAAAAGGTGTAAATTCCAAAGTTCTTAATTTTCTTAATCTCTGTCAGCTTTATTTTTGCTTGAAAAAAGAAGCTTGATGCGACTCACTAACAGATCAGTAAGCTCGCGGTATCTTTTCTCTAATTCCATATGTTCCTGCAACTCATACGAATGACCAAATGTGAGATCTTTAATAGGATAATCAATGACTTAGCACTATCCAAAAAAAAAAAAAAATCAATGACTTAGCACTTAGTAGTACCGCACATGAGATCATGTTTCTGCTAGATAAACATATCTGATGGGGCCATTAAAGTTCTTTCACATCCCATATCATTCTAAGAAAAAAACAGTAGAACTTGCCTGGCGTGAGTAATGGTCTGCATCCCTCTTCATCCCGGCCATTTCAACCCTCATTTTTTGTAATTCAGCCTGCCACATTGCAGGTAAGGGGGTGATTCTCCATATATACATATCCACTACAGGCACAACATGATTTCATTCATATCACAAAAGAAACATGGAAATATGCATACAGCATCAAGCTAAAGCAATTTACAAAGTTGCTTGTGCTCGCATCATCTAAAGATTATGGAGCAGTTTAAACTTAATGAATTTAACACGAGCTGTAGCTATTTGTGAAAGGAAAATAGGATAATTGCCTCCATGGAAGAAATTTTGTTTTCAGCCTCTCTCTGACATTGCCGTGCACGCTCCACTTCTTCCTGCCAAGCTTGTATCTGATTTTTGAAAAACACAACGATATAAGTGCATAAAAAAAATGAACATAATAAGCATAGAGAAACAACCACCACTGACTTTGTTGACCCAAATAAAGAAGTAGGGACTATTTGAAATAATTAAAAAAAAATTCCCATTTTCATAGGTGTGAGTGTGTGACCATCAAATATCGAGTTTTAAACCAGACAAGAGAATGGTAGGAAGCTTACTTTGAGAGAGAATATGGAAGGAATGAGCTGTGGGTTTGAAAACTTGCTATTATTCTCCATTAGAAAAAAATCTACCATTGGATTGAAAAATCACTATAACATTTTCAGGAACCAAAAAGATCCCTTCATCACATGGATTTAGCTATTTCTAGGCCTCATTCTTATCTCCTGCATGGAGGGAGTTCAATCTTAATATTTCCTTACAATTGGAAAGAACTATTTGACTTACAAAGGAAATGCGTCAATCTCTACTTCAAAATCTCATAATTATGCTAGATGAATTCACCATTGCTGACTAGTTCACAATAATTGGATGATTGGGGAGAGCAAGGTCACACATGATCATTAGATATTATACCCTAAAATTTTCAAAATGGTGAGCTTAAAATTTTTCCAAAAATTATACCCCAAGACAAAAACTTTTATAAAAAAGAAATTTTTATTCCATCCTGCTCTACTCATCAAACTTAGTGATGAGGACATCAGCAGGAGATTCTGGAGTGTCTATCATTGGAGGAATCGTGGATCAACGGCTACGATTCGGAGTCTTTATTTATGAAGTGCTTAAGTATTATTTTATTTTGTGTCTTAGTTTACCATAGCACCCTTATGAGGGCTTAGTTCATAATGTAGCCCAAAGGGCATTTTAGTCTTTGCATTTCTTTTTATTTTAAGACCTATATATAGAGGTCTTCACTATTGTATGAGGTTAATGATTGATTAATGAGAATTTTCAGCATTCTAGTTCCCTTGAGTGTTGAGAGTTATAGAGAAAGAAGAAGAACCTAGGTAAGGACAAAAGCAATACCCATCAGCAGTCGGAAGAGTCCGGGCTCACGGTCTACCTCCGCTTTCTTTTTCTCCAACATCGGCCGCCTCTCCTTCTCCTCGTAACAGAACCCCCCCCCCCCCCCCCCCCCCTCTACCCTTTTCTCTCTACAATTAAATCCCCCTATTAATTAAAACCCATTAATCCCAACTTAAGCTGCCGGACCCTCCCCCTCTCTGTCTTTTACTCTTTTACATTACTAACCTTTCCCCCTTTGCATAATTAATTCAAAAGTTCAAATTTTCCCTCTCAACTCCACCTCAAATTTGAAATCAAATTTCAGATTTTAAAATTACCTTCCCACCATAATCCAAACCCAAAACTTGAAATTAATTTGGCCCCTCTCCTAGCTTTGGCCAACCACCCCACACCCTCCTTTCTCCCTCACCTCTCTTCTTCCATCCCTGATACATTGTCTAAGGAAGAAGACGCACAACTTACCTCTACGACTTAACCTACTTCCCTCATGAATGGTCGATCTCGAGCGCGATCATGGATTCGTGTATGATCTTCAAGGACGAGTAGATATCCTTTGGTCTCCCTTCTTCAACTTCAACTTAGAGATCGACAACACTGTCGGCGACTACGTCGACCAAATCATTTTCACCTTGACATCTGCCATCAACGAATAACAAATCTCCGAACAGTGACGAGTAAGGGGAACACAAACGTTTTGTCTTTTGATGGTATCTTTAAGTTTGCTAAATTTATTCTTCCATTAAACCACCTCAAGAGTGAAAGTAAGGGGAACACAAAGTGAAATTTCTATTGTTTATGCCTTTAGCTTTACTATAAGTTTGTTGTTATTTTACATTATCCTGTTAATCTTTCTTGTAACCGCACGCCAAAACATAACTACAACTAAGAAATCATAGAATATAATCTGGTGAAACATTAATTTTAAAATTAGCAAGTTTAACAAATTTTTATTAAATTCTTGCAATTCCTACTATGTTTCACATCACCTAGCAAATTGATATATATATATATATATATATATGTGTGTGTGTGTGTGTGTGTGTGTGTGTGTGTGTGTGTGTTAATTTGCAAGAATATGAAACTTATTGAATTAGTTTCGATTTGCATTTTTTCTAAAGTTTTCCTTTACTGCTTATTTATTAAATTTACTATAGTAGTTAGCGGATTTTTTTTCTACCGTCAGATGCTTGAGGGATGAAATTTATTATATAACTATTACTTACATTATTATATATATTAGTTAAGTTAAAACCATTCCCACTTATTCTCCTCCACCCGAAGCCAACATGTGAAACTGTAACCCTCAACTTGCTGAGAGCAAGGTGTGTTTTGGAGAGAGAGAGAGGGTGCAGGGAATAAGTAAAAGGAAGGAGGCTAGGAATTTGGTAAGGAATCTAGTTTAAATGAAGAAAATTTTAGTTAAGGTAAAATTCTCTTTTTTTAAGGTTGTCTATAAAAGGAGAAGAGGCTGGAGTATTCTAAGGAATCCAATCCATCTTGCTAACCTAGAAAACGAGGCGAGATAACCAATCTCTAGTACATGAAATAAGAAATCTTTAAATCTAACTTTTATAGCATTTCTTCATAATCATAAGAAGAAAATTTCGGTAACAAGAACCATTTCAGTTTTATGAGCGCTTGTTCATAATGAATTTATTTTATATGTACAATATTCATATTTGACTTATGTTAAGAAAGGTAAAGGTAGACCTAAAAAGACTTTGTTAGAAAATATTAGAAATAACCTTTGTTTATTAGATTTAGAAGAGAATTGGACTCTTAATAGGACAAAATGGAGAAAAAGGATTCATGTAGCTGATTCCACATAGTGGGATAAAGGCTTGTTGTTGTTGTTGTACAGTGTTCTAGATTCTTAATCATTGATATCCTTGACGATTGCTATAATAGTTTGGTTGTCATTGACAAAAGATATATTATAAGGGATATGCCAACAAGTGATGACTTGCATAAGGAAAGACGAAAGACCTGACAAGGTAAGCCTTAGTAAGGACCGTACATGAGGTATCCGACCCTCTCTTCTAAAAAGTTGAAATTTTTTGATCCAACCTTGAAGAAAGGGGACATGAATATGCTAAAGCCCATAGTCATCATATGGCTTTTCTAAAATAGTATGCAATGAATAAAATAAGAAACTAGGGAGAAAGCTCGACAGAAGCCATACAATAAATAACATAGTTTTATGCATTGATCATTTATTAAAATGATATATAATTTATTTATTTATTTTACACGTGTACCTCTTATGACACTAATATTAGTTTGAATTATCAGCATATGTGTTAATTGTTTCGTGTTCTTGTATTAGGATTGTGTATTTCATTGAGCATTTAACTGACCAGTTGATGCATTACAGGAAGAGAAAGGAGCTAGCAGGACTTTAGGCAAGAGATTGATTGCCCCATATACATAATCCTTTTGGATGTAGATAGAAGACGAATCAATAAGGTATAAATTAAGCTTTTTGGTATGTAAATTTTATTTAAAGTTTTCAGTAAAACTCTTTACTTTATTTTTATGCAAATTGTGCATGCTTCCGAATAGAAAATTATGAGGTATAATTCTATGGCTATAATATATTTGTGTTGGAATAGTCTGAATTGATTAGTTTTCTACCCAATCAACCCTGATGAATATAATTCATGATGGGTGTTAATGAGAAATGTATGTCTAAATTTTCCTTCTCTGTTACGCCTCAGGTTGACTGAAGTGGCTGAAAATGGGGTATGACAATGGATTTCACTAGCTTTCATTTTTCATCTCACTTTGCATTTGAATAACACAGATCTACTCTCTAACTAAAGGTGAGACAAGCTATCATGTTGAATAGGACAGGGAAGCTTTGATGTTTGTAACATTAACTTGATTGTGTTTAAGTCCTCTTTGATGGTTGTTTGGATCAAACTCAGACATCATTGAGTTGAGCAATGATGCGATGATTAACTAAAGTACTCTTATGCCAAGCAAAATATAGTTTGTGTCACCAACTGGGTCCCAAATGGGAGGTCATGCAACAAAAGACTGCTCACTATCATGCTAAATAAGGCAGAGATGCTTTGATGTTTGTAACATTGACTTGTTTGTGTTAAGTCCTCTTTGATGGTTGTTCGGATCAAACTAGACATCATTGAGTTGAACAATGATGCGGCTGATTAGCTCACGTACTCCTATGCCAAAAAAACTTGTGATTTGTGTTTACCAAATGGCACGTCATGTAACAAAAGCTAGTTCAACTATACCAATATCACTTTAAGTAGTAACTTTATTTGTTTTTACTGCCACACATATGAACATAATTTATTCATGAAAGGTGGGTGAACTAACAAACAACATATAAATTCCCCCTTATTTCCTCGACTCAAGATGAAGCACTGGCAGGAGCTCTTCTTCATCGAAGGAAGTCATGGCGTCAACATCATTGTCGAAGAAGATGAGAAATGAGGCATCGAGTAGCGGGCTTGGGAGCTGAACAACTGTATTTTTTTTTGGAAAATTGTACAACTACATCGATATGTGTATAACTACATTTATGAGAAAGTTATACAACTTCATTGATATGGATTAAAAGGTTTTTTTGCTGCATTAAATGCAATATTAATAAAAATTTTATAGCATTTGTAATTAATTAAGATATTTTAAATATCTACTTTATTCAACTGGCTCATAGTCGACGAGCCAAGTTTTGTCAAGCTCAAGCCCATTTAATATACAAGGTCAAGTTTGAGCTTAAGGTTGTAGCTCAATAAGCTCGACTTATGAGCTTGTTAGCGAATCAAGAACATGCCAGCCCGCGAGCCAGTTTAGCTCATTTCAACCCCTAGCTGTTAGTATTGCAATGACCTCTCATCTCATCAAAGAGAGGTACAATTAAAGAAGAAATAGAAAGAAAAATGATTTGTCTGATCATATTTCAATTATGTTCTTTTGGCATCATCATTTATGCCGCCACCAATTTCTACAATGA